CCAGCTGCGCAGGCGACGTTGCGTACGTCGCCGGCGCGTTGCGAGAAATTCGTGGCCGCGTAAATTGGTGTGGGAGCAAGAGAGCGTGCGGTTGCAGCAAGAGAGCGTGCGTGCGGGGGGCAGATACAGGTGAGGGTGGATGTGTTCAACAGTTAGGGATCCAGCTGCGCAGGCGACGTTGCGTAATTCGCCGGCGCCGTGCGTAATTCGTGGCCGCGTAAATTGGTGTTGCAGCAAGAGAGCGTGCGTGCCGGGGGCAGATACAGGTGAGGGTGGATGTGTTCAACAGTTAGAGATCCAGCTGCGCAGGCGCCGTTGCGTAATTCGCTGGCGCGTTGCGTAATTCGTGGCCACGTAAATTGGTGTTGCAGCAAGAGAGCATGCGTGCGGGGGGCAGATACAGGTGAGGGTGGATGTGTTTAGGATTTAGGGAAAGGGTTTAGAGTGTGGGGTTTGGGGCAAGGTTGCATGGGGATTTTCGTAAAAGTGTCCTAGGTGTTACCTTAAATCCTAAACCCGGGGTCTAGGGGGTTGGGGCGGGTGCGGCGCGTAGGGTCGAGGGTGGTTGAAATTTACTACTAGAGTTTTGGAATTTGGGGTGCAGCACCCTGAACCCTAAGCCGTTAACCGTTCCGTAAACCTTCCTAAACTTTAAACCCTAAACCCTAAACCGTAAACCCGCACTAAACCCGCTGTCTGCCTGCCTGCTTGCCTGTCAGTCTTTGCGTATGTATGTCTGTATGTCTGTGTTCAGGAAGGTATGTATGTAAAATAGGTACGGTCCCTTCGTATCCTGACCCTGCTAAACCCCTTTGTCCACTTGAAAAAGTAACACTGGCAGGAACTGGCATAGTTACTGTGCCCAGGCTCGGCAGTGTGAAGCCGGGACCATATTCTTTCGTCATGGTCTCCTGTGCCATGGGGCTGAGGTTTGGAAGTTTTAGATGCTAGGGTGTAGGGCTTGGGTATACGTTACAGGGTCCCGGGTTTGGGGCTCAGGTCTAAACCCCTAAACGCTAAACACTGTAATCCCCCAAGCCCCACTCCCGAACTACCCAAAACTCTCAATGCAAAGCCCGAACAGGACGTGAATGTGGGCGCTTCCTGAACGAAAAGTTGGTCAGCTCCCAACATAGGTAGTTCTCTAAATTAGGGTCCCTTTCTGGGTCCCAACTATAGTACGGCAACCTTGTAAAAAGTGCCAAAGCCTTCACGCCTTCGGGGCTGGGGCCTGGGGGTTCTCAGGTTGAGGCGTCTGACGCACGCCGGATGGTGAAGCATCAGCAACAACCAGGCCGTCAACTACTACAGCTGCAGCTGCACCACCTACCCCTGCCACTGCCACCGGCCCACTACCGTGATCATCACCGTTTAGTTGCGGTCGGGACACGAAGGGTCCTCCGCGTCTTCGTTTAGACTTTGCTCCCTGTCACAGCAATCGCCCTGCTCCTGGCAACAACCGTATACATGCTTAGTAATAACAGCCAAAAGTTGTACATGAAGCTGCTAAGCAAGACGTAGACCGCGCCCAATCTACTTACGCCCAAAGCATTTGGGCACGCGCGCTGGCGCAGGCGCGCGTCTGCGCGCCTATTGGAGCTGGGAGGAATGCCACCTCCTGGCCAGGCCTCGGGCATCTTGGGGTTTGCGGCTCCACGACCCCCCAACCCTAAGGGCCCTTACCCAGAGGGCCCAAGTTAGGGTTTCGACAGGATGCAAGTTTTTCCGCGTTAGCAATGGGGTATGACGTGTTTTTCAGACCTCACAAATAGTCCCTGGCGCAAGTGTGGCTGCGTCGCCTAAGTTGGTGTTGCAGCAAGAGAGCGTGCGTGCGAGGGGCATATACAGGCGAGGGTGGATGTGTTTAACCGTTAGAGATCCAGCTGCGCAGGCGACGTTGCGTAATTCGCCGGCGCGTTGCGTAATTCGTTGTCGCGTGTGTTTAACAGTTAGAGATCCAGCTGCGCGGGTGACGTTGCGTAATTCACCCGTGCGTTGCGTAATTCGTGGTCGGGCATTTTGCCACGCTGCTGGCTCAGGCGCCTGGATTTTTGGCCTTTGGGCCTAGTTCCGACGGTTTGGCCTCAGTCTCTAGGTGGCATGGCTGAAGCAGGTCTAGGCGATGTCGCACCAACTCTAGACCCTAAACCCTAAACCTTAAACCTAGGGTTTTGGAGAGGTTCTAGGGTTTAGGGTTTAGAGTTTAGGGACAAACCGCACTGAGGAACAGGATCTTCTGCAACTGGGAGACGTCTTGGGCTCCCTTGAGTCAGTCACAGCGGACTTCAACGCCCTTGTGAAACAGAGGGAACAGCACCTGGGTTCTGCAATGAGGGCTTAAAGCCCAGACACTTTGAAGCATCCTAAACCCTACTTGGAGGTTCATGGGTAGTTATAAGTGGGGTTATAAGTATCCTAATATGGGTTAGAACTATAGTTACCTTGCTTATAACCTTTCTTATAACAACCCATGAACCTCCAAGTAGACCCAACCGAGAAGCTCTAAAGCCTGACGCCACCAACTATTAAGACCCCTACACTATGAGTTGCGAAGTGGGTTAGATATTCCGCAACGAAAGGGCTTTCATGTCAAGGGTTAAAGGTTGAGGGCAAAGTCTTCATTCGAACTTGCAGCAGGCTGGGCCCCGAACTTTTCAACACCTACTATGAAAGACCTTGCAACACTCACTTCGGAAGACCAGAGTAATTTTAAATCGGACCGGCCGGCATAGCTTGTTGAGGTTGCCGAAGCTTCTCTGCAAAAGCCCTGCCTATTGTCGACTCTTGAGCATAGTGCAGCATTGATGCTGAGGAAATTTGTGAGGCCGGAGCGACATCAGCATGGCATCCCTAAACCCTAAACCCTAAGCCCAAAGCATTTTTCCAAAAAAATGCATCCCACGTTATGTAGGTTTCAGGAACCCTAAGCTCCGAACCCTTTTTGGGCAAAGGTCTTGAAGCTTCCGCGGGTGCCCCTTCGTATTCTGATGACGAGTGGCAGCTCTCTGGGCTGCAGAAGGGGTTTAGGGGTTTAGAGTTTAGGGTTTAGAGTTTTAGAGTTGAGGATTTATGGTCTAGAGTTTTAGGTTTGATGAGTCTGCGTACACTGCGCACGGCTGGCGCACTAAAAGGGACCGCGTCTGTGCGGGGTGCCGTGTTGCGCACTTCAAACAGGTCGGGCTCCGGGCACGCCAGCTCCTCCGTCGTCGGGTGGCGAAGACGCGGCAGGAGCACCGGAAACGCGTCTTGGAAGCTGTGCGGCTAGAGATCGCAGCAAGTCGCAAAAAGCGTCGACTCATGTGCAGTCACTGTGGTGCCCAAATTGAAGCGGAGACACCACGCGGGCTCGCAGATGCTGCCAGCACGAACAAAACCATGGACAGAATCTGCTGTGAAACTTGCCGCACATTGCAGCCAAGCACCGAGCCACGTAGCCCGGCCACAATGGCCGCACTCGCGCCCTTCACGTATCGGTGCCCCCTGTGCAACGCAGCGGTCCGGTCCACAGTGCGCGACGGCAAAGTGGATAATCGTGAGACCTGTGGCCACAGGTTTCAGGTAAGGGATGGGCTCGTAGTCGCATCAGAAGCTCGGACAAAGCTTTGCACTTACCACTGCCCACACTGCAGAGAAGCAGTCGACTCCGGTGTACAAACCGGACGCATCGACAACCGACACCAGTGTGGACACCGGTTTACCGTTACTGCGGGAGTGGTGGTACCGAGCGAGACAAAGCAGCACAGCTACACGTATGCTTGTCCGCAATGCCAGGCAAAAGTCATTTCAACGATAAAGGACGGACGCATCGACAACCGACGCCGCTGTGGACACCGATTTACAGTCGCTGCGGGTACTGTGGCAGCAGCAGAGAAAGAGGAAGACACGTACACATACAAGTGTCCGCAGTGCCAAGCGAAAGTCATTTCAACGATAAAGAACGGACGCATCGACAACCGACACCAGTGTGGACACCGGTTTACCGTCGCTGCGGGCGCTGTAGCAGCAGCAGAGACAGAAGAAGACACGTACACATACAAGTGTCCGCAATGCCAAACGAAAGTCATTTCAACGATAAAGAACGGACGCATCGACAACCGACACCAGTGTGGACACCGGTTTGCCGTCGCTGCGGGCGCTGTGGCAGCAGCAGAGACAGAAGAAGACACGTACACGTACAAGTGTCCGCAGTGCCACGCGAAAGTCACTTCAACGATAAAGGACGGACGCATCGATAACCGACACCTCTGTGGACACCGCTTTACAGTCGCTGCGGGTGCTGTGGCAGCAGCAGAGAAAGAAGAAGACACGTACACGTACAAGTGTCCGCAGTGCCAAGCGAAAGTCACTTCAACGATAAAGGATGGACGCATCGACAACCGACACCACTGTGGACACCAATTTACAGTCGCTGCGGGGGCTGTGCTCAACCTGGAACCAACGCGGAAACGAGTCTATGCGTACAAGTGTCCGTACTGCCGCGCAAAGGTGAACACCACAGTGCGAGATGGTCGAATAGACCACAGACGGCAATGCGGCCATAGATTCAACGTGTCTGGCGGCAAAGTCGTGTAAGCCTGATAGGGGGCGGGCGTGATGGGGGGCGGGCACACATTGGCAGCCTTTAAATACTCTCCAAACACATACATAAAACCTTCCAAAAGCACTAGAAGCGGTAGGGGTAGGGGGGGGGTGGGAGGGCGATGGAAGTGCTGGGAGCGGTGGGGGTGGTGGGGGCGGTGGGGGTGGGGAACGGGCACACATGCGATGGAAGCGCTGGGAGCAGTGAGGACAGTGGCGGTAGTGGGGGCGATGAGGGTGGTGGGGGTGGTGGGGGCGGTGGGGGTGCGGGGGGAAGCGGGCACACATTGGCAACCTTTACTTTTTCTCTTAACACACACAAAAGCCTCCAAAAAAACTAGAAGCGGTGTGAATGGCCGTGGGGGGTGGGAGGGCGATGGAAGCGCTGGGAGCAGTGGGGACAGTGGAGGTAGCGGGGGCGGTGAGGGTGGTGGGGGTGGTGGGGGTGGTGGGGGTGGTGGGGGCGGTGGGGGTGCGGGGGCGAAGCGGGCACACATGGGCAACCTTTTCTATACTCTTTAAACACATACAAAAGCCTCCAAAACTACTAGAAGCGGTGTGAATGGGTGAGAGGACGATGGAAGCGCCGGGAGCGGTGGGGGCGGCAACGGTGATGGGGGCGTTGTGGGCGGGAGGGGAAATGATGGCTGGGCAAGGGAAGTGCTGGGAGCGGTGGGGACAGTGGAGGTGGTGGGGGCGGTGAGGGTGGTGGGGGTGGTGGGGGTGGTGGGGGTGGTGGGGGCGGTGGGGGTGGCGGGCACACATTGGCAGCCTTTAAATACTCTCTAAACACACACAAAGGCCCTGTAAACACAT